AACTCAATTCCGTTTTGGACAATTTCTTTTGATTTATAATTTTTTGCAGCAGTATTTTTCTATTTGACAAGTCAAATGCTTTTGTGAGATCAATAAAAATAGCATACATCTTTGTGCCTTTTTTATTAACGGTTTCGATAATTTTTGATTGCAATTTCTGTGCCGCCTCGAGAGTTGACTTGCCAGGCATGAAACCGTATTGCTCCTCGGGTATTATGTTTTTAAATTTTTCCATTATTCTCCTGCTCAGAATTTTGTCAAGTAGTTTACATAATGTGTTGCTGAGGCAAATTCCTCTATATGAGTTACAGTCATTAACACTTCCTTTATTTTTGTACAAAAGTTTCATTGTGGAATATTTCCATTGCTTCGGAATTTTTCCCAAGGTCAGACATTTATTGAAAAATTTGTTGAAAAGTGGAAGCATGAATTGAACAAGGGATTTAATATTTTCATTTGTAATGAGGTCTGGGCCAGGAGCCTTTTTGTTTTTCAGATTTTTCACTGCCCAGAGAATTTCCGCGTCGAAAATTGGTTCGCAGGAAATTTCTTCATCATAATGGTTTAAGAGCGATTTTAGGTTTAAACTATCATCTCCTTGAAAGTTTTCACAGTTGAGTATTTTTGTCATGTGTTTAATCCAGTCTTCGAGGTCAATGGGGTTTTGTATTTTATCAATTATTTCGACTGGCTGTTTTAGGAAGCGGTAAGCTTCTTGTTCTGCCTCAAATATTATTTTTTCTTCTTGTTTCTTATTAAATGTGAGTTTTTTACTTTTTAGCAGAATTTTGTAATCTTTCTTAACATCCAGCAGTCTTTTCAGTAGGAATTCATTTCTGAAATTTGACATTAGGAGTGAGTGATAGATATGAACAAGGTCCCTTCTTTTCAGAAAGCATTCGCAATCAAACCATGGTTTACTTATTCTATTATTTTTGCGAGGGACCTGTTTTGATTTTTGAACTATGTCCAGAATGTGTAGATAAAAGGCTTCAACATTGTCATTATCGATCAAAGTATTTAAATTGACATAGTCATTATTAACTAGGAATTCAAGTCTCTCTAAATCAATTTTATATACTGGTTTTGCTTTATTTTCAGAGATTTTTGGATGCTGTGAAGTAGAGTTGGAAATTGAGGCGGCACATGTCACCGGGTGGTGTTTCTTTTCTATTTCTCCTTTCACTTGAAATTCTTTTTTAGAGACAAAGTGGTTAGCAAAGATCAGATCAATTACACTGCCTCTCCAACCCGGGTGACCGTGTGTTGGCAAATTTAGATCATTGAACAATGAGAATCCATTTTTCTCCATTTTTTCGGTTAAGTACTTAGTTTTGCAATCATAATTTGTGGTTAATTTTTCAACACGACAGTTGAAATCCCCGAGAAGCAGAACTGGTTTATTATTACAATTTCTAATTTTCAGTAGAGTCATTTCTAAGTTATCTGAGAATTCATCCAGGTCATAACTTGGATGGAAGTAACACAAAACAATCACTAATTTTTCAAAAATTTGGATCAATGCAAAATCCTTAACTTCAATAGTTTCTGTTCTTTTTCCATATTTAAATTCATTTTTGAAATAGATTGAAATTCCTTTCCTTGCCCTCCCGTTGCTGTTTATTTTATTTGCCAGCAAATTTATTGATCTAAATCCTTCAATGTTAAACTCTCTTTCAGCAAATGTTTCTACAAAAAGTAATAGATCATAAGTTTTGAAAAATTCAGTTTCAGGAATTAATTTTAATTTTGACTCTAATCCTTCTATATTCCAAAGCATAAGGTTAATTTCGGTGCTCTTTACCTCGCCAGATTGAGATCTGAGCCGCCGGGAAAAACCGGTTGAATGTCCTCAGGCGTATCTTCGTCCTTATTGTTGGTGGCCTGAATAGGGGTATTGGTTGTGGGAGTTGTGGTGGTCCTCGTGGTGCGGCCGTGTGGTTTAAAGGAGAGTAGGTGAATTGTGATTGGCTGGTTGCGGAATTCATCTAGTAGAAGTTGGTGGATGAAGCTAGCGTTGATGCCGTCCAGCCCGGAGCAGATTCTTGGCAGGGAGAGTTCAGTGACCTTGTGTTCCTCTGTGTATTTGGCCAGTCCTCGTACCATATCCCGGGCACCTTGGATGTGTCCGTCCGGGTCGTGATAGAGTTTCTGATTGGATCGTGGCTTAGACACACAGAAGAGCATGAGGGAACCGTCTGGCATCTTCTCGGGTGCAATGTAGCCAGGGGCAGCATTCGGATGTCGAAGGAGCAGCTGGGCAGGGTCGAAACGCCCTACATTCTTGGTGTGGAGAGCGAGGCCGGCGCCCAGGTTGAAATCTGCACCAGTAGCTTGCCCTTTCACGCCTTTGGCTCTCAGTAGGTCACCTGTTTCCTCGAGAATAGTGCAGCGGCTCTCTGGGTGGCGCTGGAGGCCTTTGTTTCCGATTTTCTTTACTTCCATTTGATATTTCATGTATTTAGGCGTGGATTTCGGAGCCGGGTTCGACCTTTTTGAGTTTTGTTGGCGCTGTTGTTGATGGGCTCCGACATGAGTTTGGGTGTTCCTTTGGTTAGGTTTCTTTGATTGGTCATGGTGGGGCAAATTGTTGGAGCGCCGTTTTGGCGTTACGATTTTCCAGTCATTGTCTGCGTCAACGGCCGCGTGTTGCGATTTCGTAGCGCCTTTTTCATTTTGATTTTCATCTCGAGTCTGATTGGGGGTTTCAGAAGGGAGCTGCATTTGTGTGCCTGATACTCGCGCCACTGGAGTTTCAGAGCATGACCGATGGTGGTGCTGTTTCGGGGGCGTGTCACCTCCGAGAGACACGAGGGATGGGATTTCAGGTTCAGGTGGTCTTGATTTTGTTGGCAACATTGGAAAACCTTTAGATTGAAAACTTTTTTCATTTTGGGCAAAAATTTCCATTTCCATTTCAAAAACACGCTGTTTGAGGTACTCGATTTGGTAGTTGCAGTTTGCATGGAAACCGTACGGGTCCGGTTGTCTGGTAAAATGGCTATGGGAAGGCCCCTCCATGGTCCTCGGAGTTACCTGGTCCCTATAGCCCCGCATCATTGTTGAATTTGGCGTGCACCCTGAGCCGGTCCCAGGGCACGGAAACTTGTTGCTTACGTGAATTTTGAGGCCGGTGACTCTTCGTTGTGAAGTATGCCCATTAAGAAGTCACTGGGTCTGGTTTTTCCACCTAAAATCTGTCAAAAAGTGGCCCGGGCCACATACCTTGCTGTTGTTTTGGTCGGCGCTACCAACCAAGTTTATTTTTAATTTTTTTTTCGCATTACTAATGACGCAGCAGCCTCAATTGAAATTACACAGCAGTGAATGATGAAAATCATCTCTTCCGAGAACGGAGCGTGATTCAGATTCTTTTTACTCTTATGTCGCTCAAGCATTAAATTTTTTATCCCCAGCGCAGGCAGAGGCTGTGCAACTTTTGTCTCACATTCCGGGAAATTGGTGTATTAAAAAGAGCTCGCTGTGAATACGGAGAGATGATGATGGGTGCTCACATCTCAATCGCGCGCGTCCGACGAAAGCGCTTTTTGTCTCAAGAATGCCGCGAGATGAGTGTGTTGCCATTAGAGAGATCATCATTATCATTATTCTCTCCGGTGGACGATGATTCGGTCCTTTTGGTCCTCTCTCATTTCTTCTTCTTCTTCTTTCACATGCAGCGCAGGTATTCAGATTCACGCAGTCAGACACGTCGTGACTTTGAGAATGGAGATGGATAATGCAGCGTGACAAAACGGGCCTACGCCCTCGCGCGCTCCGAACTCGGCCCGCGTGCAGCTCTGCGTCATTTGTGAAATTTGTAATCGAAATACCGCCGCCGCGCGTGCACGTCTAGCAAGCTCGATATTTGCACAGTCATTAAACACCCCTTTAGAGCTGGAGAGACGCCGGGCGCAAATTCAAATAAACTCCGACTAACTAACATTGTGCACGGCGCGACGGCAGACGCCCAATTATTTATCGCCCGATTGCGATCGTTTTCCCATGAATTAAAACTGCTGGCAAGCAAAGAGCTAAAAGCTAGACGCGGTTTATTTTTCAATCTTGGCGTAGAATGAATAATGATGGATTTTCAGACGAAAGAGCGATATTGACTTATAAGTTGAAAATTTTATTATTTCTTCTGAAAAATTTTATTTTTTAGAACAAGAATCTAGTTTCAAATTTTAAAACTAAAGATCTGTAAATTTTGCATATCAAGATGTTAACTTTATAATAGAAAAATAATGGAAATTAAAATTCTGTGAATAAAAAGTAAAATTTAATGCATCGTTATCTTAAATAAATTATGAAAATAATAGATAAATTAAATAATCTGTAAACAGTGCACAATAATTTTAAATTTATTATAAATTTAAAGTCTTGAGACGAGTTCATAGACATCTTGCTTTTGAATAAGTTAAATGGCTCTTTTTCCATTTTAAGAATCATTTTGATGTTTAGTTTGACATCATAATTATTCCATGGCCTCCGACGAAGTTTACACTCTCTCGGAATAAGTCCCTTGCTCCTTTGTGTGATGCGCCATGCGGGCTGCAACAAAAGTTTGAAATTCCAAACCGTTTCACACCTTGTGTGGGGCCGAGTATAAAAAGCAGCCATGCATCCCTATTAACACCAAGAAGGAGCGGCTAATGTATATATTTCTGGAGGAAGAGAGCAATCGGATCTATTTTTGGTCCCAACAGCGCGTCGCGGTCGCCCTTCATTTATGGATTTGGAGGATTATGGGTCCGTGCGCTGGAAAAATGCGTCTTCCGCATAATAGGCAACGCGGCGGCGGTCTTTTTAATGCGCCCCGTGTGTTTTATCAGGGCAGCATATCGGCTCTGGAAATGGAAAGAAAACATCCCGCAGGCTTTGAGAGCATCTTCTCAGTTTTTTAAGCTCCCCTTCCATGCTTGTTTTTTTGAGTGGAATTAATTTTTAAAGAGTGTGATAATTGCTCGCGTTGCTAACGGGTCTGTTTTTTGTTTCAGGTAATGGGTTGAAAATGTGCAGCCCGCACCAGGACGACGAGAACTTGTCGTGCTGCACTGTCAGAATGGAGGCAGCGTTGGCAGCCAAGGCGAGGCAGGACTTCGACCACGAGCTCCAAAGCGCCCTCAACGGAAAACTGGCCAACATTCTCAAAACCAGGGCCATGAAATTTAATGGTGAGTAAAAATTAAAATGTCCATGATCAATTTTGTCCAGTGGCACCGGTTATTATTTTAGTAATTCAAATAAATTTATCAGTATTTTTTCGAGAAAAACTGCAATTTTTATCCTCATAAAAGGAGAAACAAAGAATCTCTTTTCTTTCTTTGCCCAATCAATTATGGAGGCTTCGACGCTTGACACATTTGCCCAAACTCGAAAAGTTCCAAACTCGGCTCACAGTTTAGCTCATCCAACTTTAGGAAAGTCCATTCCCGCCAAAGCACGGCAGATTCAGAGCGAGGAATTGCTCAAATATTGTAATAAAACTCTGGACTCCCCTGGGAGGGAAACGCGCGCGACGCTTTTGCCTCGAAACAACCCTCTTCGTTGCTCCCAAAAGCCCTTTTCACCGGCGCTGCCTCTGGAATTCAACCTGCAAGCAGCGGAATTTATAGCACGGCGGCGTGTTTACGGCTGCCTACTCGAAAATTTGCCACCTCACAAAAATTTCCAGGAAAAATGATCTTCGAGAAGAGAGACGCGCTGCTCAATTGACTTGTAAAGCCAGAATCGGCCATAAATTTTCGGCGCTGATGTTTTTGCCTCTCACCACCGGCAGGACAACCACCTCGCCCCTAAAAAACATTCACGCCGCTTGTATATATATGAATGAAGTGACATTTCTTTCTTTGAAAGAGCTGCTGGGAAATGGAAGGCAATAGCTGTTCATGGGTCTTAGTTGGGGTCTCGGGAGGTCCCTTTTGTGTGAGTTGAAGGAAGAGTGACCGCTTTTATGGCTACAGCTGTAAATTAATAGTAAAAAGATGTCCCAAAGTTCGTTCACAAAACTTCTGAGTATAAGCAATACCTGAAAAAAATTAAGAATAAGAATCTTGATTTTTGGGAAAAATTAAATTAAATATATCATTGGGGAGAAAAATACTAAAAATTATAAATTCATCAAACAATAGTAATTTTTTTCATCAATTTTTGCACTTTTAATTTTAAATTATTTAAACTGTGTTTGAATAAAAACATTTTTGCAACGAGAAAAAGGCCGATCTCTTCATTTCCATGATCATCTCCTCGAGTGTCAACTTCTTCAAACAAATTTAATTTTTCTTCGATAAAAGTCTAAAAATAAATTTGTTATTCAGTTCCACTCCAGTTGGTGTCACGTTTCCTGAAAAATAGTTTCCCACAATCGTGCAGAATTTCATCCATTGATGGGAAGGTGCATCGGAATGCCACCTGATAGAAATGCAAATCCAGCCGCAGTCTGTCAAAAGGTTGATGCGGCGGCGGCGGCCGTCTTTTTTCACGAGGGTTTGACAAGAAAAGAGGGCCGTAAAGCTCTTTCTGGTATTTATTGCGGGTCGTATAACACGGGAAATGCAAATCGCAGCGACTCCTCTGCACCGACTGCAAGAACGAACGCTTTCTTTTCCTCCGCACACAAAAGTTATTTTAGATGGAGGGTCCAGGGTTGTGCCAGGGTTTATATTATTTTTCAAGGCAAGGAAACAACAATAAACCAAGCCAGGATTTATGAGAGGGGCTCTGCCATGCGAGAGATGCTCCTCGCGCGCACAAAGAAAATATTTGTAGCAACTCTCAGCACCAAAATAAATATATATTAACGTGCGAGCTATTCATTCCTTTGCTGCTGCTCAGTGTCCGTCAATAAACCCTAACGGGATAATCTAAATACGATTTGAATTGCCTGGCTTTCTTTGAAATTGGCCGGTCATCCGCGCAGCAGCTAAAGAGAACTGAAAAAAGTTTAAAAGACGCGCAGTTAGTCCTTCCTGGGCGAGAAACTTCGCGCCTCGAGCGAGAATGGTAGTTAACTGGGAGAGTATTGATCAACGCTGCAGCAGGAATTAATTGAATATTTGCCCGATCTTGTGCTGCTCGCGAGAGAGCGCGCGGATACCAATCCATTTGGCTAATTGTCTGACTGCGAGCGAGACTTGAAAAACAAATATTATCGCAAAACTCCCTGGAAACTTTTGTTCCTCGGTGGGAAGAGTAACAAAAGTTAAGAAGTTGCTGTCTTTTGAAAAGTGCAGTAAATGTTTGCTAAAAAGTTAAAACCCTTCAACTTCTAAATAAAAAAATCTTTGTAACAATTCTGACATAAAATATAAAATTTGATATTTTAAACACTTGAAAGCAAATTTAATTGAAAATATAAACAGGATTTCAAATATTATGTATTTTGAGTGGATTAATTTATTCAATATTCAGCAATTCCTTGTAAAATATCTAAGTTGAATTTGATAATAATCTTTAAATAATAAAATCGATCCTTTATTTCAAATTTTGATTTTTTTTCACCATTTAGATCATATTTAGTATTTTCTATGCATATTATATCATTTTTTTTAGCCTGCTGAAAATCCTGAGAGTGTACATCATTAGCGTATTATGGAGTAGAATTTGCCAGTGCAACATTTTACATTTTATTTCTTTGTTGCCTCTCTCAATAAAACACTCCAGACGTCGCGGCAAACTTGCAACCCCTGAGCAAATGTTTTCTTCTTTGCATTGCTCGCTGCTTATTATATATAAAACCTCTCGAGGATCCGATTCATTTGAACTCCTTTAATACAAATTTCCCTTTCAAATCACGATCAAAAGAGAGCGCGCGCATGTGCTTGGTGGCTGCGGCGGCGGCTAAATTATTATTATAAAATATACATCCGCCTGGGAGCATATACATATTAAAAACGACAAAACCCGCCTCTCAGCAGACGCCGTAATCTCATATCTGCATCTGATCTTTTTTATCCGAAGAGAGCCGCCCGCTTATAAATAAATGAAGTTGCCCGCCAAGTATTATTATTAATTGCAATGCGGCCAATAGCTGTTGAAATTCGCGTGTATTATATATTTTATATGTTTCTCGGCAGGAGTGGCTGCTTAGCATAATAAAACGCAAGCAGAAATTTCAATTCACCGGCCGCTAAAAGTCCAGAGACGTGCCGGACAGGAGGAAATCGCCGCAATAACAATAAATTACAAAGCGGCTGAATCACCCATTAAAAATGTTCGACTCTTCCTCGAACGGATGGATGCTGCATTCATAGTAGATGATCGCTTCGTCGCCTCCCACCTCGTTTGCTCATCCGCTCTCCGCATTCACACTCTCGCGCTGCAGCAAAAGGGGGATGCTGGCTGGTCTTTTAATATAAAAACTCCAACTGTTATTACCCCCGTGGGGAGGTGAGCGCGGGCAGGATTATTTGATTACTGACGTCACGCCATGTGTCATCATCCCTCGGCTTAGCACACGCTGATAAAAAGCAGACAACCTCAATCCACGTTTCGCACTATCAAATATTATTGCGCGCAGACGAAATGAATTTTTTTCATGTTTGCAAATACCGACGAAAGGTATAACAAAATCGATACTTCTTGTACGCATAGGGCATGATGAAATTATTATAATATTTTCTCCTCTCTAGATTCTTGATAAAATGATGTCACAATCCTTCCACAATTTAAACTCGGTGATCAAAATTTTGAAAAGAATTTGCCTAAAATAATATAGTTTGTTGAGATCTATGCAATTTATTGGATATGCATGCCAAGCAGGTTGCATTTTTAGAAACACTCATTCTATAATTCTGCGACTAAGCTTGTGCTATCAATAAGAAACATATTTTTTTCTCGTGCTAAATTTTTATTCTTGCTGTTAAAAAGCTTTAAGATCAGAAAAGCTCTACAGATTTTTGTCGCAAATAATTTTTTTTAAAGAAACTTTTTTTATATCATGGCTTGTTTTTTTTTGTCCATTATTACGAAAAACATTTGTAGATATTATAAGATAATTTATTATTGGGACGAAAAAATTTTTGGGCGAAAACGGCAACATCACTATAGCAAAAAATTTGCTTAAACTTCCAACATAAAAAAATACCCCATCCTAAGTATAGGTAAAGCTCATCCATTTTTATACTTAATTGTATTGTTAAAAAAAATTTTAATTTAGCTTTTAATAAATAATCTCTTATTTTTACTCTGCGAATGATTTTTATTATTAATTTTCTTTTCAAACAAGACTTTTTTTTAACCTTTTTTCCCACATCTGTTTTATAACAAAGCCAAGAATTTACGTTCTGGATAACTTTCTTTATAACGTTGGAGGTTTGCCAGCAGATTAAGACAGCAAATCACTAATACTAAAAGACTTTATATCCAGACTAATTTTTTTTCCTGCACGTGGGAAACCTTAAATTCTGCGCGGATTCGATGATATGCGGCTAAGTTTTTCAACATTATACAAATAGAATAAGTTCTGCATTTATGCTAATCAATACGAGGCGCCAGATTCATTTAACCAGCATGTTTGGCAGATCCTGGAGGCGCACATCATTCGCGCTTACAATTATGTACATAATAATAAAAAGATGAAAAATTCCTAGCCTTGAGACTAGTATGATACACGTCGAAATAAAAGAGGAGGTACCCCCTCTTCAGAGACCAGAGCCAACCAACTAATCTGCAAAATATCTCGCGCCTCTCTCTGGCATTATTACTCACTGGCACTCGCTCTTTCCAGTCAAGTCTCGCTCAGGTAAATACCTTGCCCATACATACAACCTGCGACCTTGGGAAAGAAGAAGAAGGAGCCACCATTGCTGTTGTTCAGTGCATTCCACACAAATAGCACAAGTACAAAAAAGCAGCGATGAGAAAAAAAGAGCTTGAGAGCACAGGCAGGGATTACCCCCCGTGGCGGGGTGTACTCTTACCTTTAATTATTAACTTCCTGTTCAACTGGCAGCATTCCTCTCACTGGGAACGTTATTGGCCCTTTTCTCTCTCTTTTGCCAAACCGTCTGCGTAATATACATTTTACAGTTAGGCATGATTTCACAGTAAAATCTTCTTCAAAGCGCCGCTCTCTTTGTTTCATAAACGCTCAGAGGCACGCGAAAATCAAGTGCTGTGTGAAATTCGCATAACTTTTTCGAACCTGAAGTGCCAAAATTAAAAAATTTGTGAACATAATCACATTCCGCCGCATGTGGTCACTATACTTTTCGGCCTCGTCGCCTTTTTTTCTTTTGGTCAAATATTTTTCCAAGTAATTAAAGCGAGAAATTCCAGCAAAAAACCTGTTTGCTCCTTCAGCCCTAATGTGTAGGTACGCGCGCGTCTGCTGCGCGAAATGCAAATTCCGTCTCGTCGCCACCGCTCCGGCAGCAATGCTGTAAAACGGCCGCCAAATCGCTCTATCGAGGCGTCCAATTAAAAATCAGCACGACTTCGGAATCAATTTACACGCTTTATCGCAGCCTGGAGGGATTTGTCGTGTAATAATTACTTTTAAATATCTTTTTAATCAAATTTATTGGTTTTATAAAAATTGGATAAACTTTTTGCACACAAAAATATTTTATAGAAACTAAAAAATTGATTAAAAGGTTTTAAATTGTATATGTCTGGCTGCGGAATACTGAAGTTGAATTTTAATTTTCCTGAAAGTCTGGAAAGTGTCTGAGAATATCTGAATCAAAATGTGTTTATCTTTATACCTGAAATCCTCAAAAATTCGTCTTAAAAATTTTATATTTGAATCCGAATTACTCGTAAACATACATTGTCGGAATGTATTTTAAGAAAAAAATGAAGGCTGTTTGCACCAGTCTTAAATCTATATTTATTTAGTTGGAACATCATCAATTTCTCACACTTCAGCAGCTTTATATATTTACTCTTCTCAAAACATACTTTGCAATTTAAATTTTAAAAATTACCAGTTTTTACGCACGCATCTTGCGCCAAAGCAACTACTACTCTTTCGAAATATCTTGTATGTAAATTGACCTTCAATTACCCTGCTCGGTGCGGATTTTTTTAAAGGCGCCATAAAAATAACGCCGTTGAAATAAAATCATCTTTCGCAAAAACCTGCTGGTATGCTGATGCACGTGTCTTCTTTTTTGCGCCTTTCAGCGAGCGCCGTCTGGATTCCACTGCGAGCATGTCGAATTTCAACTCGCTGATTAAATGCTACGCCTCTCGTAATGCAATTAATCCGCAGCCGAGAGACATTATTTCGCAGTGGCTCTTATTGATTCGGGCGTGAAATAGACGCGACACTCACCAGCGAGCGTCTCTCTCTTATTTTCATTTATTTTTTCTTTATTATCCAACTTTTCACGCCTCCAGCATTCTCTCCTGCGTTTTAATTCCAACACAAATTACGGTAAACTTTGTGCCGCCTTTTCGAATCGGTCTTGCTCTCGGAATATAAGGAGCAAGTTTTATTTATCAGGGAGGGCGACAGAGGGGGCTTTTTGGGTTGAATACACTCTCGAGACCCTTGTGTGATATGTAAAGTAGGTGACGATGGCGACAGTCTGGCAGGGGGTGCACGGGGCTGTACACATTTTTTATTCCTTTGTGCTGCGTGTTGGCAATTCAGATACACATCATCACCGCGCGGCGAGTGACGCAAACTTGACACATTTCCCCTCATAAAAATGATCCAGCTGGAAATATTCCACAAAAGTGTCGTTTCGATGCAAACGCTGTCGGGGTCCCTAAAAAGCTTCCGTTGCAAATTAATTGATTTGGATGACAGCAATTTTCCGAATGCAACAACGGAGAGAATTAAGAAATCTGAGAGTCATGCAACGGCAGTTGAATTCATTTTGATTCGATTTGATTGGCTGGGCGTTTCACTTCACAAAATTTAATGGCCAAATAAAAGTTCTTGACGAGCGCCGCGCATATAATATTATCATCTCTCGCGGTCGGCATCTGGCTGATGGCGAAAAAAAGGACATTAACCTGGCGCGTGTAATGGTCGCAGACAGACTTTGCGCGGCCTCCTCGGGTGCTCTTTTTCACGTCAACTAAATATATGCACATCATACTCTCTTACAATTAGCACTTTGTTTGAAAAGACAAAAAAAAATTTATAAATAAAATACTTACAATTAATTGAATGCTCTGCATTCCAAAAAGGAACAAACAATTTTGATTACTTTTCTATTTAAGAAAAATTTGTTTGTGTTTTAAAAAAAGAATTTAAATGTTAAATTTTCAATTGATTGAGAAATATTTATTTGTTCAGAAAAGTTTAAATCCCAATATCTGAATTTAATTTAAGCTTGGTGCGGAGAAAAAACTTTTCCGAATAATATAGACTTTTTAAATAATTTTTCAATTGTATATTTTTACATTTCTTTCTCTTTTTGATTTGTAAAGGTTCCCTGGTCGATCTTTTATATTATGTGCCCATCATTTAATTTTGTTTGTGCGGTCACGTGTGCTGCATTAGCTAATTGCGATCATAATGGGTGATAATTATTGCAATTAGATAGCGCGAAAAGGAGAAAGAGCAGAGCGAACCGCTCGAGGAGAATATCCAATTTCGTCGTGATTAATGCTTTTTTTACTCTTCACGCTTTTTAGCCGAGAGCCTCTTAGGAGTATTATTTGCTGTTGCTAAAGCGCCATTTATTATCCAGAACTGGGTTTTTGCACAACTTTTCATCAATGATAAATGAGATGCAACACACAGCAGTGAAAAAAAGAGCGTGTGTGTTTTTTAAAGCTGTGCCGCCGTCGCCAGTTAGGCAATATTAAAACAAAATCTGTGTGTAACAACCTCCGTTGATGGTTCTGAAAAGCCCAATAACTCACCTGGTGGCAGCTGCGCCTCTTGTTAAATATTGTCATTTGAGTGACCAAGCCGGGAGAGAGATAAAATTTCCATTTTTCTGAAGGCCAATCGTGTGCTGTAATAATAATGACAGAAAAGAAAGAGACTTCTTCATCTCTCGGCCGAAGCCGTCTGTCAGCCGGAGAAATTATTTATATTATTGCCGCATGTAAATTCTCGGGCTCAAACCGCGAGTGCCTTCATTAGCGTTTCCACTTTGAGAGACAGTTAAAGGACAAAAACAAGAGGCACAGACAGAGTTACACACCGCGAGATTGATGGCGGAAAATATTATGCGCCCTGAGAGAACGTGTTTGTGTGTTTATTAATAAATAAATATAATGCGTACTCCTTTGTACGAGAGCGACCAGAAGGTGTTGCATTACCACCAGGCCACTGGCCGAGGTCAATATTCTCTCTTGGGAAGCAAGACTGGTGGCTGACTCGGGCAGCAGATGTGTGGATTCGCGCAGCTGTGTATTTAAATTGATGCCGAATTTTGATTAGGAATTTAAATAAACGCAATGTTTGTTGAAATGAAAAATGACAGTTTTCATTCCGCCATTTGAATTTCAAATTAAGAAATTATTTTTTCCCCGACATTTATATTTGCCCCATTGTCTGAATAAGCCGGCTAAACTCGGCGCCACTGGACATTTTAAGCCTCGTCTTTAGGACACTCCCAGTATTTCACGCTGCCCATATTTGGTTTGAAAGTATAATTAATCCTAATTTGCATATTTCAGACTTCTTCATGGAGCTGCTGGCGAGGTCTAAAAAGGAGTTCCACGAAATGTTCAAGAAGACGTACGGAATCATTTACGAGCAGAACCAACACGTCTTCACGGACCTTTTCGAAAATCTGGAATCGTACTTTGTCAAGGGCAGAACGCGCCTGGACCGTACTCTTGACAAGTTCTTCAACAACCTGTACCAGAGGATGTTCCAGGTCCTCAATGGCCAGTACTCGTTCGATGATAAGTTAGTACCATGTTTTAAATACTTCTGCCAATTTTATGCAAAATTATTTTGAAATTCTGATCTCTAATGAAAAATTATTTTTTCTAGGTATATGAGCTGCGTCTCCAATCACATGAATGAATTGAGGCCTTTTGGAGATGCTCCTCACAAGCTGTCCCTTCAGGTCAAGAGGTCGTTTGTTGCAACGAGGACCTTTGGCCAGGCACTCCTAATTGCCTCCGAAGTGGCGTCCAACATGCTGCAGGTGCAACCACCCCAGGACTGCAGTCATGCCCTGACGAAGATGTCGGGGTGCAATGTTTGCCAAGGGCGTCCCAATATGAAAGCCTGTCCAGGCTACTGCAGCAATGTGATGAGAGGCTGTCTAGCCTACCACTCAGAACTAGAAGCGGAGTGGAACTCTTTTGTTGGTAAGAAAATAATTCGTAACAATTAAAAAACCGCAATTTGCCGTTAAAAAATAATCATATTTTAAAGTATACAGTATAAAATTCTTTTAATTTGGATAATGCATATTTAAACAAAATTCTTTACTCATTACAGATGCATTCTCTAAAATTTCTGACCGTCTGCTTGGCCCATTTAACATCGAGGTTGTTGTTGAACCCATCAATATTAAAATCTCGGAGGCCATCATGAACTTCCAAGAAAGCAGCAGTCAAATCTCTGATAAGGTATGGAAATAAGCAGTTTTTTTAATGTTGATATTAATTGAGAATTTTGTTTAGGTATTTGCCGGCTGTGGAAAGCCAAGATTGGGGAAGAGGAGTCCAGCGGACAACAAGGAAATTCACTATGAGACACTCAATTTTGGCAAAAATAATGCAAGAAGTCGAGGCCAGCCAATCTCTGACATGACTCCTTTGGAAAATCTCATCAATGACACAAACTATAGAGTAAGTATTGTCATTTATATCTAAAGCAAAGCAAAGCAGCCAAAATTTTTATCTACAAAAAGCTTAAATTATAAATTAACTGAATTAATAATCCAATTTCCGCCTCATTATACTATTTTTATTTGTAAGATTTATTTCCCAACAACTTTCCTTGATTATTTTGTTTGCCTAATCCATCAACATTTTCATTGTGTTTGAAAAATTAAATTTTAAATGTTTATTTGTAGGTCAAAGATACCAAGAACTTCTGGTCCAATCTTCCCCTCATGATGTGTGTCAATGAAGATGCTGCAGTTCCTCCTAAGCAAGAAAATAACTGTTGGAACGGACGCACCAAGAATAGGTAAATTTAATTTAAAAATTTAAACTCATATAATTTGCTTCTAATTTACAACCGGTCTAATCACAATTTTCTCAATTAGAGGCAACTTTAGAATCAGATTATAAAAAAAAAAAATAATTTAATGTGGTTCTCACAGGTACACTGAGAAGGTCATTGCAAGTTCAGGAATTACTGCACAGGCCGACAACCCTGAGGTCAAAGTCAGCCCAGTGGAATCGTCAAGACACAGCAGCAAGTTGAATGAGCAAATGTACACACTGAGGATGCTTGTCAGCAAACTACGAAGCGCTCATAACGGGCAGGATGTTGACTGGGGCGATGACGAAGATGAAGATGGAGGAGGTAATTTTTCACAAAAATATATTTAAAATGAACTGCACCCTAAATACAATTTGGTAAATTTGTTCGTTGATTGCGCTGATAGAGCAATCTCAATATTAGAGCTTTTTTTTGGTAGTTAATATAAATTTTTTAACTTGCACATGGTCAGCTACGCTGCTACGCGGTCAAATGGCCGATCTGGTAAATTACCGCTGTCGGGGAAAATGGCTGATCAGCATTTTATTTAAATTTTTAAGGAGAAGCAAAAAACTGATTATCTGCTGCGATTCAATTTTAGATTTCTATGTTTTAAAATTAAGTCCAGCATGTTATTACGGATAATTTGTAAGAATTAATTTTCTTTTAAACCTCAATATACCGCTGTTGTGGGAAATTACAAGAGAAGAAATTGCACACTGAACAAGTAAAATGTACATTACAATCGGAATTAAATTACGTGTGTGATTATTCCCCGCATTTCTATTTTCAATTCGACTTTAAAATAATATTTATAATATAATATTACTTTATTTGTTTTATTATCATTTTTTGCAATATTTGAATCATGTTATTGAATTTAAATTGATTAAAATCTTATTCTTTTATTTAGTTCCAAATTGCAAAATAGTTTTTAGTTGCAAATTATTTTAAGAAAAGTAAACAATTGTGACATTAAAAGCATATTTTTTCTTATTTCTCATGGCACGGCGTCACTTCTAACGATAATCTCATCAATAGTTTTGCTGATACTGCATTTTTTACTTTCTTAGACCAGCTTTTAATTGCATCAATTTTCAGGTGACGTGTATGATGGCGAAAGCAGTGGTTCTGGAGATGGACCTAACTCTGGTGATGGACGCCAACCACATGGCCCCTATGACCAGGAGGAGGGCAGTGGCGACATCGAGTATGATGAGCGACCCAGAGGAAAGCAGTTCCCGAAACCTGCACCCCCTCCAGCCCACTCGCCACCTGTGCCAACTGGCCGGGCGCCAACGACGTCTGCAGCGCCTCCGAAGGTGCAGAAGGCTTCCGTCACAAAGGCTGTGGTCACATATCTGTTCCCCATCGTGGTAGTTTGGCTAGGTGGCATGTTCAGTGACTGGTAAATGTGTCAGCCGACTCGAAAGATTTTCCTCGTGAATTGTGTATATTGAAATGTGTCACTATTCAAAATCGTTGAGCCCAGTGTTTTGGGAGAGCGGACAAGCTGAGAGTGCTGAGTTACAAGCTCAATGATTATTGATGATAATTTTAGAATAATCTGCTTTTTTTAAAGAAAGGAAAAATTGTAAAGACTTTGTTTAAAATCCTAAAGAAATCAGCGCTCTTGACCATCCTCTTCCCAATTTTTGGGTCTCGAATTAACCTGTGGTGGAATTTTCATCACATGGTGATGTGTGATTTGTAAAGAAAGAGTGGAAATTTTTTACGGAAAATATTTAAATTCATACTCAAAATTCCAGACGTGGAAAATTAAGAAATCTCATCTTGAGCATTGTAGACACAGACTTGATCGAACACTGCTGGTGTTGATGAGCCTTATTTTTAGTATGGACTTGAGAGAGAAACTAGCAATAGGATTACGAGTGGATGGCAACACAACGAGATATACGTAATAATTCGAGGAGGCCTTGCCAGGCATGTGTTGAGTGAAAAGTCTAATTGTATTACTTGAACGTCCACTGCTAAAGGGCTGTCACGAAACTAAACCAGTTTGGAAATGCAGGAAGGGAGAATTAAATCTGTTCTGATCAAGAACCACTTGCCGCTCCTGTCTCTCCGACTTGGGGAAACAAATAATGACAGCCCCTACCTGAATGTCTTCTGGATACTTAAAATTACCGTACTAGGAATTTCAAAGTAGCATTACTATGAATGTTAAAACTTTGTAATTTTTATGCTTGGATTTAATTCATAATTGGATGTACATTCCATTGTAAAAAGAAAAAAAATAATGCAAATTTCTTTGTAATTTTACAAAATCACAAAACTTGAAATGTTTTAGTGTCTTAATTTATTATCTATTGAATTTAATGTTTAATATTTTCATCTATTGGCTGCCATCAAATTCCTTCTAGTCCACCGTAGCTTCAAAGTGGCTTCTGTGCGCAAGGAAGTTTCCTTTTTAACTAAAAAAATTATCACTTTGGCATAATCTATTGTGTTTTGTGGAATTCGACGTCGGTCACATGACAGAAGTACTTCTTGCATTTATGAACTGTTGTTTTAAATTTTAGATTCTCCTTTTTTTGACAATTTAATGTTGCACAAGTTGTAAATGAGCACAAAGTTTATTTGGAAATTTTGAATCTTTGTGTCATCCATATATTTAACCCATGTTTGTGACCGAGCAGCTTATTAACAGTGATGTAACAACAATTACTGTATTATGACGAGGGTGCCGAGCAGCCTTTGAGAATTTAATTTCGAGGATAACTTTTGCCCTGTCAACATTTCTGGAACCAACCGTTGGAACTGCCACTGAACTTTTGAATGTTTTGCAGCACAATTGACTATTGTATGATTGTAAAATTGTAATTTTGTTGGTTCCTTAGCAAAGCTGCATCAACACTGTAATAGCTAGGCTAGGGTTCAGAGGTGCATGATTGTAGTCAGGGTAGAAAAAAAAGGAAAATTTGCCGTTCAAAAAATCGTCAATTCTTGAATACACTGAAAAATATTGAAAAAAAATCCAGAGGCGGCTTATTTTTATTATTTGTGATTTGTAAGACTAATTTAATTAATAACTAATTTTTAATGTTCAACTTATTTACTTTGCATTATTATCCAGTCTCTCTTTTGTAACTACTCTGACTTTTGCATCTGGGAAGTCTTCACTGATTGTTACATGAACCCTCTGCTCTGTTCATTTACACCAATAGGAGACAAGTAATTTAAGAAATTATGCTTTTTAACTTGCGCATCTTGAAGAATAATAAATTGGAAATCAGACAATATGAAAAAATGAAACAACTGCTTTTTTTATTCATAATATAATGCACATTCTAGTAATTCTAAAATTAAATTCGCAATTATATTAATAATATAATAATATAATTAATACTTTCAAAACCACACAATCTATTATATAATGTACAGTAACTATTAAATAATTTAAAGTGGCAATTAGCAAGGATTAATTAATTTTAAAATGAAAGTGTAGACCATTTTGATGGAAATAAATTAATTTAGAGTATCAGTAGAGGTAACAACATTCAATTGCTCATTCTTTGATTTTAAAATTTTTGCTTTCCGCATGTCTTTTAATTTTTTTTGTAACTGCATCAGAAAACTCATCAGGGGAAATTTTACTTCGACTCAATTCGGTGGGATATGAATTTTCTATAGGCACAACAGGCTTTTTAAATGCTGTAATTTGCTTTTCAGGGGGAGTTTTAGTTGGAATCAATTCGGCTGATATAACCTTTTCTATACGCACGTCAGGTTTATTTACTTCTGATACCTTCTCTTTCCGGGGGATTTTATTTTCATTGAATTTGACCCCAACAGAAGTTTCTGTAGGTACAATAGTTTCACTCATTTCGGTAATTTGCTCATCAGGAGCAATTTTGCTTTGACTCGATTTGGTTGGAATTGATTTTTCTTTCGGCACAAGAGGATTTTTCAATTCTGTAACCAACTCTTTAGGGGGAATTTTACTGAATTTGGCTTTGATAGATTTTTCTGTAGGTACAGCAATTTTACTTATTTTTTTAATCTGCTCCTTGGGAGCAATTTTGCTTGGACTTAATGTGACTGTCATCAAATTTTTTGTAGAGAGACGAGTGCTTGATTTTGTAATCTGATCATGAGTTAAAATTTTTGTCGTGGGAGTGAATAGTGAGCTAAATTTGATTGAAGTTAATTTTTGTGTTACATCATTAATAATTTTTCGCGTGGTTCTGTTTGTGGATTTTAGCGTTTCCGGACTAACAGTAGTGTTCACAGGTTTTGAGTTATTTACAAAAGGAGTTGAAGTGTTTGGTGATTTAGTCGCGCCACTTGTAAATAATGATGCAGTTACATTAGATTCCTTAATATTTGCGGCAACAAGTCCAGTAGTTAGGCGTCGAGTGGTTGAGGTAGTTTCGGTGGTTTTGGTGGTTTTCTTCTTTTTAGGAGGACTCTCAGCAAGCTCCATATCAGTTATGGGGAATGGATTAACTTGATACACCAAATTTTCCATCAAGTAAAATGTGTCTGGCGGCATGTAGTGGAACGAAATTGGATATTTTGAGCAACAATCTTCTCTCTGAGGAAATTTCAAAATTTTAAGATAATTTTGAAAAAAAAAATTAAATACTATTTTACTTCTTTTTGAGGCCACTTGATAAAATGAGGAAACCACCAGTCAGTGTATTCTATAGCAGGATTTGTATACCACTCTACATTGAAAGGGTAAAAGCGGTAGTGGCCTTTACTGTCTCTTGAATCGCCAGGGTATACTCCGGCGTAATGCAAACAACGGCCTGGAAAATTAAACAAAACGGAACAAAATTTTTTATGTAATACTAAAAAATTACTCTACCTAAATCAGCGTCCTCTGCTCCTTGGCCGGCAATAGTTGGACACTGTTTAGGGTCTCCAACAAACGCAATTTTCACTAATCTCCTCAGGGCCTCTCTACTCAAAACATATCCTGATAATGAATGATAAAAAAATCAGAAATTTTGTGACAAATTAAGGTCATTTTTAATATCAATATTTATTTTAAATACCAATGAAAATCATTGTCAGATGAAATTAATTTAGGGATGAAATTTTAGGATCATATCAGATAATATAATAAATAAAAGATTATGATACACAATTTTTTCCATCTATGACTAAAGGAAAGAATACTTAATTAAATTTACAACCTGCTCCACCACTCATGTAGCCTTTTGGTGCGATTGTTTTATAATTAAAACCAAAATATTCCGGTTCATTGGTATTATATGGCAAGAGGAATTTCCGCAAATTATCTACTATCACATACCTAGAAAACGTTTCATGTTGCATTTTTATAATTATTGATTATAGTAACAAATTTTCTCACGAGTCATCGTCCGCCTTCAAAAACCAGTCATACTCCCTTGAATAGTTCTCGTAAATATGATTGAATGCCTCGACAGTTTTGGCCCAAAGACCTTCCCTGCCTGGCGGTGCATCAACTTTGACAGTGGGAAGAAACTCGTCTGTGTAATTTTTCTTTCCAACTTAGAGAATCGATAATAATTTTATTTAAATCACCCTCAGCTTCACTTATGAAAATGACTTTATTGCAGCGGCGGCCCCAAGTGGCCTTAACGTGTGCAGATTTAGTGTGGCTTTTGCTCGATGTGCAAACCCAGCACAAGACTCGGACTTGCTCGTAGATAATCTTTGACTGTTGAGCACGCGAATCTAAATTAGAAAATTTTATTTTAAGTATTTTTTTATGATTCAAAGAAACCCATAAAGAGTTGATCTATTATTGAAATATTCAAATCCATTGTTTCATGCACCAGCATTGGCAAACTTCCAGCCATAGCAGTCTCATTTTTACTCCCGTCGTCTCTGAAATATTCAATTCAAATTTTTTTATCTATTAATTATAAATTTACTACACAGAACCTTAAGTAGATTTTGTAAAAATACATCGAATAAGCAAAACCACACGCCAGTCCCGTAGCAAAAAATATAAAAAATTGGCAGCGAGAATCATCTTCGGCCACATTGCGTCTGGTCCTTGTATGGTCTGTCAAATCACCACGATCAAATAAGTCGAGAATCCATCAATCAAAGTAAAAAATATAATATCAGAGTTCATACCACGTTTGCAAAAAATCATTTTTTGTGACGTTGGTGAATTCTAATAAACGCATGAGCTGCGCTTTACATTGTGTGCAGTGCAGCGCTGGCGGGAAGAAGACTATAGCTTTTTTACCATATGCTGGTGTTCAAGTTTCCTTATCAAAAAGCCGCCGCCGACGAATTTTGATAATAGCGAGGGCAGGAAAGAAAGGTTTTACCTTGATAACAAATTCGTTGCACATTTACATGCAGGACGAGAATAATTCTAATTATTAAACTTTCGGGTACCAATTAAAAAAGTTAAAAATCATGTTCAAAGCGATACATATTATGCATCTTTTTCATAGACATTGAATTAATTCAAAAAGAAAGTTGATATTAACATTTTTAAATATTTCTTTAATATCATTGTAAAAGTTGATGAAATACTGAAATTTAAAAAAAAATTGCTATGGCAGAAACAAAAAGTTTGCTTCATGAAATCGCCACTTGAACAAATTTTCTGGGAAATAGGCAACCTGCACAGATCGGATGCTCAGCGGTACAGTATTTATCTTCATATAAGGCGCAATCCAATATTGACTGGTGACTGGTATTTAAATCTTCCTTTTTGATTGAAGCAAGTAATTGGAAGGTATTTCTTTTCTAAGTTACGATTTATGTGATTAATGCTTTAAAATTTCCGGAGGAATTTCAAAATAGGCTGCAATTAAATAATATTCACTTAATTAACATTTGAATTCCTTGAAAGAGTATAAATGGCTATCAGTACTATTTATTTTAAACTAATATTTTATTCGTTCTTTCTATACCATTTTGTCAAGATTTAATGGATTTATGGGTAATTTACTGAAATTTGAACAGCTGCATTTTTGAAATAAAGCAATTCTAATGTAATTGGATTTGTTTAGACGAGCAATTAGTTGGATAAACAAAATATAAAAACTCAATCTCATTAATACATAGTCAATATTTGGTACAAATGGTTCTGGGATGCGTCTGAGAATTTCGATTTGACGGCGCCGAGCCATTCTGTCGCGGAGGGTGCGAGCGACAGTAACTTTTTTACGACCCCCGCGGAGGTCCACGCGGCCAATGGAACTCGTCGTCTGTGTCAACCATCACGAAAAAGGCGTCCCCCAACAATGGTTGTCATGACGACGGAGAGCCGAGACGCAGGGGATGCTCTTTTATGAGGCAGGGGTGTTTTAGGGGCGCCGGGTGAATTGCACGTCCGTAAATTATTATACGGCGCGCGACCCTAAAAATTATTTACTGCTCCTTGTTTCGCAGGCCTCGCTGCAGAGAAAGTTGTAATATGTATTTATGGCCGACGCGCCTCCAAGTCTCATCAAAACGAAGCCGACGCGCTGTCTCTTCCAACGCAATTAAATCAGCCGCCTCAAATAGCCTCCCAGGGGAATAAAATTCAGAAGGGAGAAGCGACAAGCTTGAGCAAAAGTTTCTGAGATGCGGAGCAGAATGTTCATTTTACCTTGTGTCTCAAATCTAAAATATATTTGAAAATTATCCATGATTATCTAATATGATCAAGTGAAACTGTTTTATCCAAAAAGTGTCATTTTTAAAATTTAAAATTATTCATTTTTGTCTCCTATAATATTCACCTTGGGGAGAATAGGAAAAATTGCATCTCAACATTTCCGACTTCATGAAAATTGAAAGATAAGGCAATTTTTTTTTTAATTTAATGCTTTTTTCAATTAACTGGAATAAAGTTAAACGAAGTTTCTACAAGCCATAGATGAATCTCATTTGATAATTAATTAATAATTCCACAATGTAGAGTTTTATATTTAAGTATACTTTTTCCCACCAAAGATAAGTAAAGTTTTAGTGACATATTTTTTTACACGAACCAATTAAAATAAAACTTTTTTTAATTCAACGCATCATAAAACCTTGGCAAATCTTCACAACTTGTTTAAAAACTCAAGTAGCCCAAACGGCAATGTAGAAGTCATTTGCGTAACAGCAGTTCCCTTAGAAGAAATTTACCAATTGTGCTATTAAATGTGAATTCAAATTTCTCCCCTATAGAATTAATTCCTTGTTTTTAATCAACCATTAAGCTATTGTTCAATTATAAACCTGAATCCTGAATCATAACCTCCTTAATAGATTTTCAGCTAATTTCGCCAGCATCACGTGGACCACCAAGAAAAGGAAATATCATCAAAATGGCTTTTTTTATTGTATAACATGGAAAATAATATAGATTTAAAATTGAGTGTGTCGTCTACATCTACACCACAAATTTAATTAAGGTCGCATGCCTCAAGTCTTCGTCTTGGCATGAATTGAAAAATTATTAAGGTAATTTAATTAGGCTACACTGCGCTTAGAGATGAATTTATTTTAATACAAAATCTGGGGAGCACAAGATTGTAATTTGAGGGATCATTTGGAAAATTCACTAGCATCATAATATTGCAGATTGCAGCTTAACCTAACAAGTTTTTTTGCAGATTATATAACACATTGTATTGTACTTTCAATATCTTGCAAATACTGGCGTTTAAATCCCTGTTTCTAAATATTATCCATTTCGCATCAGCAATCGTTCATTCACGAATTTTTTTAAAGTGTCCTAAAATATAAAATGCAACACAATGTTTTAATACATAAAATCTTTAATTGTATATATTTGAAATAACTGAGTGTGCTTGGATCTCTCATTTTTTAAACAAATTTAATGCAGGCCATTTGACCATGAGGAATACTAGGGAATTTTAATAGTATTATGATAATTCAGAAGTGAAGTTCAAATTGTTATTGTATAAGACGTAAAAAATACTGACAGACAAATAAACAACAATAATAAATATTATATATTTATTTTTAAATTTCTATAGACTATAAAATCAGGCATCACGCGACAGCTCATCTATTTGAAGTTATCTTAAAAACATGATAAATACAACTATTAATTAAATTGCTATATACAATAATGTTTCAACAATTTTTTTGACCAATTTCGTGTAATATTTAATTAAAAAGCCCGTTATTAATCTGTTCAATTTACCGAGTGCGTTTCAGGCAAAGCGGATGCTGATGCATTTTTTCTTTGTGATGGATTTGGAGTGGCCATTAAGGAAAAATTCATAAATCTGAAGGCAAGTGACGGAAATAAAAATCACAGTATGCAGCGCAATCACTCCATTGTGTCGCCTTTTTTTTATCTCCAAAGGCAGTTTCCCGAAAGTAAACCTGAGATTTTGAGTGCGCCGAGGCATTTTTGTCAAATTTACGACTTGAAAACGACACCAAGCGTCCATTATGCCGGTGCACTTTTATTATGCGCCAGAGAAAAATATATTGCGCTCATTTAGGGCCCATCAAACCAAAATTTCAAAGGCAACAAAACATTTTATTTTGACATTAAGTCGCGCTGGGGCTGGAAATGAGTCGGAGTCACGCAGCCATTACCTCTCACATTCGCTGCTCGTTTCGAGCTGGCAAAGTATGCGCCGAAAATTGGCAAATTTTACTGCCAAAATTACGATGATTCCTCGTGTACCGCGACTGGATCGAGGATTATCAAAAGTTTGAGCTATTTTCGAACGGAGCAAAAGTGAATCGAGTTAAAAATTTCATGGTTCATTTGCGGTCCATTAACGATCAGTAAAAATGTTAATAAACACGCCGAACATAGGGTAAGGTGTAATTTAAAGCATACTCAATTAGCCACTGTGCGTTCTTTAGTTAAAGAACTCTCTTTATGACCACCGTTTTTAATATGTCTGGTCCGTTAATTTTTATATGAAATCAGAGTATCAGCTCAAAGGATCCACGAATATTCAAATTTAAAATAATCTTCCTATTGCCACTAGACAAGTAATATTCCGCATTATTTAATTGTTTTTTTCCTTTATTAAATCATTTGTTCTGGCTAAATAAATATTATACATGATGAGATTTTGATGTATCGAATAACTAAATTCTAAAATATAATATTGAAGTAGATAAATACTTACAAAGCCCTAATGTTTGCAAAAAAAGTAAGAATATATTTACTCAATCTTTATATATTTTTATACTGGGCGGTGCAATTATTTCTTCATCATTGTTGGCCTATACTTTCATTTCTTTTGGGGTTTGAGGTTATCAGCAAATTCTAGTGAATGCTTGAATTTTTCAAGAAAGAGAAATATTGACGTAAAAGCTGTATACCAAATTGATATTAATGTTTTTACTCCTATTTGTAAGTCCTTGGGGCAAAGGATGAAAAAGGTCATGGTCTTAAACCCTATATATAACATTATAATTATAATTGTGTTTTTATAACATCCTAATAATAAATACAGACGTGCAGCTTAAAAAATTCCATTAAATTTGTCCTTTTTTACGAAAGATTTTATTTAAAATTATCTTTTAGGTCTTAGTTTTGCTTAATTACTGCCCATGCTGATCAGTTTGAACTAAGTATAATGCATTTTAAAAGTATCTTGTGATTAAAATTAATATATGCCAAATATATTTATTAAAAATTTGTCAGATTTAAAAGGAATTAAACTCAAATTTCTACTGATCATGGAATCATCCAAAGATATAATTGTATGTGCTTCAAATATCAGCTAAATTGAATGGTTTTCTTGAAGAAGGATGCAAGCAAGTTTTATTCATTATTTTCTGAGGAGAATCGAACCCAGGATCCTCAGCCATTTTGGTCCCAGCAAGCAGGGTGGAAGACGAGGGTCGCGTTTGATAGGCCGAGAAGCAATAAGGGGTGCTGCACCCCTGCTGGAGCCGTCTGCGTTTTATGGACCATAAATTACCCTCGCGCGTCATGTGCGCCGCTGGCTTTTTAATGTCCCTTTCCTCCATATTGAATGGCGACACATAAAATTCGTCAAGATGAATTGTTAGAGGGACTCGCATTTATGGCCTCCTCTGCTCCATCAGAGATGCACAAAGGCAGACAGAGAAAGAAGCGCGTCCCAGCATCTTGACTCGGCTCCTGCTTTCAATTCCCAAAAATTTATAATACAATTGAGAGAATTTTTTGTTCGCTCCGCAACAGAGGCTTCTGCGCATTATAATATATAATTTCCTCTGAACGTTTAACCCTTTTTGTTGTTGCAAAAGCAGCTGCCGTTAGATTCATGGGAATGAGATTAAAAAATTGTATTTAAGCGTTTTTCGTTGGAAGATTTTTCTAAGCTCCAACATTAATTTGAAATTTTGAAAGAATATTTCAGAACCACATTCCAATCATTAACGCTTTATAATTTTTAGCATTATAGCAATAGAAAATCAGTTAGTCTTGATTGAATGTAGAAATATTATATTGAAATATAAAATATATATAATAACTTATTTCATTTTTGCGTATGAAAATCAATGAAAATTATAGAAAATTCTTGCTGAGAAAGCTAAAAATTCAGCATATTGTAAAGATAGAACCAGCAGAAAGGAGGCTGATCTTGTGTGGGTGTTTTTTTTTGTTAAGTTTTCAAAAATTTGAAAAATAATACAGAACAAAATAATTGCAGGTCTTCCTCGTTAAATAATTTCTCCTTTTAATTTCAAGAAAAAAAATCCAAACAGCTCTTATGAGTCTATTTAAACAGATTTTTAAGGTCAGAGAGAGGCAAATCTCACTGTCGGCCCTGATTAAAAAAAATCACGCGTTAAAATTCGTTATATTCAAAAGTCATGCAAAACGCATTGATAAAAGAAACAGAAAATGAAAAAAAAATAAAAAAAACTGATGACTGATGACCCTGTTGCAATTGTTGTTGTTGTTGATTGTTGATGATGATGTAAATTTTGGCCAGATCTATTTTCTATAAAACATCCAAATTTTTATCTAAAAATTTAGTATATATTTTGTATAGGTCATGCAGTGCTTGGTAGATTTGGTGGTTAAGCGAAACTCCTGCAACTCCTGCACGTGTGCTATTTTTAAAAGCTTGGCGCCACCACCCACTTTGAAAAAACTTGCACCCCCAATAAATCATCTGTTTTCCAGTCGCGACGCGAATTTTGTTGTGCTTGTCTCGTGTTGTGAGTTGTGATCTGTCTTTGTCCTCAGTCCTCACGTCCAAATTGGTGTGCCAAACCATGGATGAAAACTTGGAGATCGGACGTCCGAGACGTCCGAGTGCAGCAGAAGGATTTCGGCGGATTGAAATCCACGGAGATTGCTGCGGAAAAAGGCGCGACGCAAAATGGAGGGAACCGCGAGCAGGGATCAGGACGGAGCACGGACCAAAGATTTTGACTTTCACAAAGGTAGGAAGCATTTTGCCGTAATACTCTCTCTTCACCTTATTTTGTTTATTTAATATTTTGCATTTTAATCTTTTGAATGCAATTTAGGATGGTTGCAGTATTTTTTTATATAGAGGAATTAAAGCAATCCAAACAAATAATATTTCATTCGCAGATTTATGTAGCCATTTTTTGGTTAATGTAAGGAATTAAATTTTTTTTTTTTAATCCTATTAATATTCAACTATGAATGCTATTTTTTCAACGATATTTGAATTATTTTGTTTAAAGTCAGATTCAATTTTTAAACTGCGTAGTTAAATTTAGGCTTCTTTAGAAAATATAAATCCTTCTGTTCTCGACTAGAATACAATTTTAAATATGAGATTAATAATTAAATTTAGAATATTAATATAATAGTCCTCAAATCTCATTATGAGGTATTAGAACTTAAAAATATTTTGTATAAATTATCGGAACATAACTTTCAATCAATCAATAGAAAAATATGAAATACATAAAACAAAATTTTAAAGTGGTCTTGATGCAATTAAAATGAAATATTAAATTAAAAAAGAAAGAAATAATAATAGGAGATATATGATCTAATGAAATGACCGGGCCAGAGTAATTCAAATTCAAATTGCTTATAGCGGCTTAATTTAGCCTGGGTCATAGTCAAAAGCCCCTTCGGAAAAAAGCGATAGATTCGATAAAGATTTTTTACCCTTGCATCATATAAATTTAAAAAAATAATAAATGAATTAGAAGGTCCTACCTGTCGTTGAATTTGAGTTGGTGCTGCTCGCGGTACAGAGTGCGTGGACCGACTAATGAGCGCTCAACCTCAACCCTTTGACACGCGTGACCCTGACGAATGCAGCATCCCTGCTCTCTGAAAACCTCAATATTTTACAACTCGGAAACAAAAGTGTTCGCCAAACAAAGATGAAAAATTCTGTTTCTCTGTTTTGGCCATTAAAACGACTCGCACAAAGAAAGGCGTGCGTTTTACGATGCAAGAGACCAAAGCAGTTTTACGGCGCAGCATCTTCACGGTAAATTCAAACGGACGCTCATCTCTCAGGTGAGAGCCCTGGCTGGCTGACGGATGCTGGTGGTCCAGCGCCTTCGTTGTAAATCATGCGGGAAACTCTTAAATCTGTCAAAATTCTTTTTACATTCCTCAAATTTCGTGCAGCAAAAAAAAAAACGACTAAATTTATTGTTGCGTCTTCGGCTGGGAGAGTCTCGGGAAAATTTGGTTGTGATTGTGTTCATAAGTTGAATAATTCCTCATCCATGCTGATAACTTTTAAAGGTTCTTCACTCTGCATAAATTTCATAATTATTTTTATTTTTTCAGTCAATCACATATTGAATTGACTAGTGCCATAGTGTGCCATAGGAGGTCCACTGTTTATCAAGCTCTGGTTTCATATGGGAAATAATGAAAACGGAAACTGCAAAGAAATTTTTGGTTTATATAGTTTGTAACCTGAAAATATTTGAACATTAATTATAATATTTTATTTCTAAATTACTGTAAAGCGGATTTAAAGTTTAATTAATATTTGTATGAAATTTTACTTTTAGAAAAAAACCCTGCAGTGAGTAATTTGAATTTTGAATTTAAACTATTTGGAAAACAGGCTTAATTATAATTAATATGCCGTATTAAGCCAAATAATTTTTTTTTATTGTAATTATGAACTCTTATATTTTTTGCCTGACCAAAACGTGCAAACAAAATTGAAATTTACGACTTCTGCCATTTCCGCAGACAACATAGTGACCGGCACTTCCGCGGATCATGGCATTGCATGTGGAAAATCAATGTGTACGTTTGACGTTCTAAATGCAAATTATTGCATATGATTAACATTTAATTTTTTTCTCTATTCAAAATATTATCTTCTTTTCAAAAAATTATATACATTTAGAATGAATTTTTCATTTTGATTTTCCTGATTGCGAAAGGCATGTTGGATAAACGTCAAATAATTTTTCGAACACGACGGGGACACCTCCATGTTCCCGAAACGAAATTGTCCTATAACTGAGAATAAGCACCCGAATCAAAAGTATTCCTATAAAACATTGAGCCGAGTTGAAAGTTCTCTATGGAATTTTGAGGTGTTTAGAAAATGGCCTAATACAAAAACGGGATGAGTGCAATTTGTCGTATTAAATATATTTGCTGTAAAAGAAAACTGCATGGAAATATCAAAATTCTTATTGCAGGCAAAGTATGCAAATTTGAATTATCTTTGAAGAAAAATAAGGCAAAAAGGACTGTTAAATTTGCCTATAAACTGCATCAAAACTGCCTAAGAATGCCCAAGCACTGGCTAAAAACTATCGGAATACACCTAATTTGCTTATGAGTTCTGGCACATTGTTTCATGACTAAAATCATTATAGAACAGAATTATGTGACAAATTCCATTAGGAAAAAATTTTCCCAGGCATTGATATAATTTTTTAGTGCACAACTGGGGTTCCCAAAATTACAAAAATATTCGTCATTTCCTCTGGTGCGCTTAAAAGGGACAGGATGGATGGATGCAGTGCCTATGTGATGATCAATGCGCCACCGCAATGAAAAAGAAGCTCGCATTTTTTGTCCTGGTTTGCCAAAGTTAAATTTTCTCTAAAAATTATGAAGTAAAAATCTAACAGGCTTTCACAGCCGTCACCATACTGGCTGCCCGAAAGGGAGGACATAAAGCGGCAGGTTATTGGCTTGTCAATATTTGCAAATTTGTTGCTGGATTATTTTTATTTTCAGGGGCGAAAAATGGGATTGATAAAAGAAGTAGGAAAAATATGATTGTTAAATGCTGTGGGCAAACATCGTGCACAAAAATCAATGCAACAAGGAGAATGACGATGGTGAAAAATTCATCGAAAATCTTGGTTAATTGCTATTTTAAAATAAGTTATTATTTAAATAATAATTTATCTCAATTTTTTTAAATATATCATAGTTTTTTATACCAATTAAAAAAAAATTGAAAAATTCAGACAAATTAATATAATATAAAATATATTCCTATAATTTTCATTTCGAAGTATTGAAGAAAAAGCATATGTAGTTAAATTCAATCAAACATCCGGTGTTAAAATATTGCTTGAAACTAAACAGAGTCCAAGCAACACCATGGCATTGTCGACAAATTCATTGGATAACAATGGAGAAGACCAGTTTTTACCAACAGACACAACAATGGAAAATTTAGAAGTGTCTATGGTTGCAACTGATGAACTCATTAATACAGAAACAACAAGCACTGTGGATACCTCAACCACAACAAGTGCTGCTACTGAACTTTCTACTCCCAGTTCTTCCTCATCAACTGTTACTCCTACTGCTCTCCTTTTAACGACATCTACCAATTCAATATATGCCACTTCAACATTTACCTCTTCAACATCAACCAGTTCAGCATCTACTACTTCAACTTCTACTTCCTCAACAACTACCTCTACTACTTCTACTACTACTACTTCTTCTACTTCTTCTACTACTTCTACTACTACGACAACAACCACAAAACCACCCACGAAAGAGGTGGTCCAATTTTGTAATGAACATAAATAGCAAATATTTAGTTTATACCATTAGGAGTTGATTCTCGGAACGTGCGATACCTCATTTAAGCAGGACGTAAGTTCGTTAATTAATGTCATTTTTATATGATTTAAATCTTGCAGAAAAATTTGCTCAACACCGGTGGAACTTTAAAAGGTTTAAAGTTGACATTATTTCAAACTTTGAACTAATTTGCATTAAAAAGAACCGGAAAAATATGGATTTTGGGTGCAGTCGTGTGGTCAACAATTTCTCTTTGGAAAATCTCTGGTACAATTACATTTTAAATTGATACTTATGAGGATTTACAATAAATAGAGCACTTGGAGAGAAAATTTCATAAAATGCTATCAAATTGGAATGGAGCCGCTGACTTTTGAGAATTCGTCAAAGTTGGAATGCTTTTCAACTCTGGGTAATGTTTCTATGTTCAAAAGTTCAACATTTAACACAATTATTTCAGTCTCCAAATGGAAATACAGTTCAAATTACTGGACATCGGGACTGAGGGTTAACATAAGCGCGTTTTCTTGGTGCACTAAAAATGGGTCTTTGGCTGTGGATAGCACAAAACTACCTTGGGCACCAGGCCAACCACAAAATTATAACAACAGTGAAAACTGCCTCCATTTGAATGTGACAAAAGCGACGGCAACGTTTCAATTTTCGGACAGGTCGTGCACCGACCTCCAAATTTTCTCTTGCCAAGTAAATTGCAGGAAAAAAAATTAGGTTTTATTAATTCTACTTTAAATATTAGGGACCACCAACTCCAGCTCCGTCTTGTTCAAGTCCCGTCTGCCCAAATATTACGTGCACCAAAAATGTAAAAATCGCAACAATAGAATGTAATATTTACTTAACCGGAGTATCACGTATTTTGCAGGCCACACTATACACCACTCAGGGAAATTCCCAATATTTGACAAGTATAATTTATAACAAATTATTTTTGCATTCTTTTTATTAAATTAATATGCTGCAGATCCAAAATCATTTGGGAATTGGTTCACCTATCAAGGTCGATCATATCTTTTCAGCCCACCCAATAAAACTGCAACCGTAAGAGTGAAAATTTTCAAAGATAATAAAAAGATACATTAGGCTTGAGAAGTTTGTAGAAGCTATGCAAGTTTGTTGTCAAGTCGGAATGACCTTGCTTAGTTTGGAGTACGATTATAAATACAAGTCAATCGTCGCTGCAATAAAAGGTTTTTTAAAGACTGTTTAATTCTTTTTAGTATCTAAAAGTTTACTGAAACAGAAAACACGTCGTCTAGTGACTTTTTCTGGACCTCTGGTAGCGACCGAGGCTGCAAAGCGAATTTCGGTTATTGCACCGTGAAAAGGTTATTAAGAGCAGAGGCAGTTTGGGCTCCTGGTCAACCAGATGATAGAGACGGAAACGAAAGCGGCGTTGTTGTTTTTATTAATTCCAGCAATGCACAACTATTTGATTTTAATGAAGAGTCCAAGTTCAGATATATTTGCGAGGTTCACACCAATTTAAATTTTGTTGATTATACGTAATATAATCCTGCGGGGTTATTTGACTTTTAAGGCCAGGGACACTTCAAGAGCAAAATCTGGTGGCTCCGCTGTTAAAGACGAGTGTGCCTCTATTTACAACGTCAGCCAAAGTATTTTTAAGATATTTTTTGTAGAAATTGAAATGGAATAAATTTCCAGCCGAAATTGACAGTCTGCTGAACAGTACATTTAAGAAAGATCTCAGGTTGAAGGTAATTAAAAAAAAAACGTATATGTAGAATAAATAGTTTAAATTTTTACCCTTCAATCGCAGTGCTTCATTAAATGTTTGGGCGAAAACTCTGGCTTGGTCATTACTAAAAACATGCTTACCGAAATTCTGATAATTTATTTGATTTTATTCAGATGGTGAATGGAAAGTTTTTAGAAAACGAGGTGTTAGCGATTTTAGAAAAATTCGCTGGCGGAAATCTGGATGAGTTGCAAAAGAACATGGGAATCGTGGACGAGTGTGGAAACTCCTCAAGTGTGGCGTTTGATTTAGTTCCAATTGCTTATAATAAATGAAAATTTTAGATGGCATGGACGAATGTGACAAAGCTGCACAAATGATCAAATGCAGCAGTGAGAAGGCGCCTGACGTGCTAAACGGCATTATTACAGCCATGGACCAAGCAATGCCAATTGTACTTTTTTTTTAAATTAACCAGAAATTTTTCACTATTTAATTAAATAAGGAAAAATCTCCGTTGGAACCTGGAGCATATTGCTATCAACCAACTTGCCAGGTCAATGTACGGCCATTATCTTATAAAATGTTGATTATTTTGAAATATCCAAAAGTTCGATTTAGTCTACACTTGCTGCAGAAGTGGCTAGTTGCAATGGAAACTGCACAACCAGCACTGGATACGTACGGACTCTATGTGGCAAAAGATATTACCACCATATTTTAGAGGTTTTGAAAACTTTCCCTAATTTTTTCTATATATTCAACAATTTTTTGTAGTACAATCAAACGGGTGCATATATAACATGCTGCATATTTGGATTGAAACTAGTATCAATTGAGACTACTGAAGAATTCATGTGCATCACAAGCTTAAGTAAGAATATTAATTGAAATTTTAATACACCACGCAAGAATTTGGCTGAAAATGCGGTCCTATTTTTTTAGGCACCCCAAATTCTGCAAGGTGGACGTGGATCGCATTGAGCAGAATCAACGGCACAAAACCCCGATGGTGCACATCAAACGCGGAATTTAATTTTGCAAACTATCCTTATGTCACAGAAAGGCCTGATACATTTCTTGATGCTTATGTCATAGCTCCAGACCAAAAGGTTCTTAGCATCACTCAACAGTTGGTTGCACAACACCCTCTGTGCGAATTTCCCTAGTAATTTTCAGGTCAAATTTATTTGTCTAAATTTTTATTGGCATTAGAAAAAGTATGTGAGTGGGTGGGCAGTCAGTTGTAATGAAAAAATTTGAAGCAGAAGGATAGGGAAATAAAAATGAGTTTTATTGTGTATTAAAATACAAATTATGATAACAATTGATCTGAAAATAAAAATTAAACACCTTTTGAACGCAAAAGTGTCATCCCTTTAGTTGAGCTTTTACCAAAATTACAAAACATTTTTTCATATATGACAGTACTTATAGAACCTATGTAAAAATTTTCATTGAATTTCTAGTACGATATCATCGATTGAAATTATGAGGAAGTGTACAAATTGTAGAAGTATACTTAAAATATGAATACTTAATTTAAAAATTGGAAAATCTAAAAATTAATCACATAATATTAGTACAAAAATTGTTTGCCTTTTATGTATTATTTTTATATTTACATTTTTGAGCAATATTACAGAGTTTTCGACGCAAATATTTATATTTTTACTTTTGTCCTTTTTCCTTGTTGCCCAGTTCAATATGGGAAGGCATTTACTGGCAAAAGGAAGGAAAAATAATTTTGTAATTTTAGAAAGTTTGAAATGTAACGTAAATTATGTTAAAATAATTTTTTTTTGTAAGCAACGGAGAGTTCATTTGTATCAAATTTTAAAACCATTGCAAAGCAACAGCAACAACAGAATCTATCATTTTGACTGAGGAAATTTTTTATTCAATGAAGTCGTAAGTTGAAAACCCCGCGCTTATTTTCGTTAGCCGAGTGAGTTGAGGCTGTTTGAACTAGATGGAGGCATCCAAGCTACAGAAGCAAAAAGGCAAAGCCAGCGAGTTGGCCAGCGACAAGCCAGCGATATGAGCCATATGAGCTGCGGCGGTCTCTTTTTTTTATTAACCTCCTATACTGCAATCTTCCTGAGCTCAGCAAGTTAAAAAACCAAGCGATGTGATTCTTTTTTCATTTTATTCGTTTTATTAATATTTCAAAGACAATTAATAAAATAAATTTTTCCAGTTTCCCTGAATTTAAAACGGTTTTCCAAATTAATTTAGTTTTCAAAAGCGTAACTTGCAGTCTTGGCAGTTTTGCTCAATACTTTCAATAACAAGTTAAATATGAAACAATATAATTAAAATGAAAATATAGAAGGGAAAAGGAAGACATTTTTGTGATATCTTTAATAACATGGCATTTTTTTTTTTAACAAATATTCTAAGTGCTGGTAAATTAATAGAAAGTCTACACTGTGATCCATAAAAATATAGAGCATCGTTTTTTCGTTATAGGTAGTTTTACTTCCGCTTATGTCAAAAAGATAAATAATTATTGGAATAATTCGGCATGAAAAAATATTTCTCAATCCCTGTTGATTCTAGAACAATAAAATTGTACCGCGTTTGTGGCACAATATATTTATATCTTCGGGCGATGCACCTGATCACTTTTTGCTAAGCCCAAATGAAGTCATTACAAGGCGTTGCGATTGAGTGAGTTGTGTTATGAAAGGTGTTGTGGTGTAATAGCACCGAGGATGGAGTGAGGCGGCTGCGAGGCGCAATAAGCTAATATGAGCGCACAGGAAAGCAAAGGGTTGCGTCGTTAAATTTCGCACCTGATAACAGGGGCGACGGTCAAAACAAACACATGGCCTCGACAAACAAAGCGTAGACGAAGCGGTACACATTATGTAAACTCCATACAAGAAAACAGAATTTTTGGCAAACATTGAGTAAATTCCCACGTAATTCATCCATATAAAAATTTAATTTCTTTTTCCTGACGGATAACAACTCGTTAAAAAATCAAAACAAAAGCGTCATTCAAGAAAACCTTTTCATTCTTTTTCTCGATTTATTTGATGAGTGACTCACTCACTCACAGACACTTGCGAGAGAGACAGCTGATTCTCGGCGTCTTTTACAACGTGCATCGCAACAAAAAAGGGTTTGTGTTTGTGAAACAATAAAACACGCGGGCCTCGAGGCACTTTTTCACACACAGTAGGTCAGTGGGCCCGCGATGATCGCTGTTAAAATTTCCCTGGGCGACCGCAGATGCATCGAGCTACCTCAGGTGTATACCTGGGTGCAATAAATATGTGCTGGGCCTCACGAATCCACCATAAACACAATTTACAAGCAGTCGCGCCCACGCCTCGAACGCAGGTTTCGGACGCTCCTCTTGTTCCTTTCGGGCTGCATGGGAAAAACTATTTTGTTCTTTGGTTACGCGTTAGAGCGAGAAAGGCAAAAAAATGCATCCTCAACTTGAGGGCTGCCAACATTTCAGGTCAGTTTTGCTTATTTGATTACTTCCTCAATATAAATTCCTCGTTTTTTAAAAAGGTTTAACTAGAGCTTAAATTGCAAGTTTTACATTTTAACTCATTATAGTAAATTCTCAGTGTAGCTATTATTATATTATTTATATAAAATTAAAAAAAAAATTAAGATTAAGCTGAATACAAATGTATGTAAATGGAAAAATACAAATTATGTATAAATTATTTTGCTTTGTATAATAATTTACAAAATTGATATTAAATAATAAGTTACAATTAATAGAAACAAAAAAGCGTCTAGCCCAGTCTAGCCTGAAACAAAAATTTATAATTAAATATTTTTATAATTTATAAATTGACTGTTTCTGCTTAAAATTATTCGTCCTATTAAACATGCACAATACTATTGATACTATGTACACACCTGTTAAGTTCGGCCAAACCGTCTGTTTGCAGGTGGGATAATGTTTGCGATATTTTCGCTTTGTTTATTGTGTAATAAGACGGCAGTTAGCGCGGCAGTAATATAAATAGCGAATGTGTCATCCTCTCACGGGCGAAAGAGCGAACGCAGGCAGCGCACCATAAATAAGTCAAGTGAGGCGATAAATCGCATTATTTTTACTCGTCAACCGGTGAGTTATGTTTATTTTTCATGCGTCTCGAAATGAATGTGTGAATGAGCGCGGCCCGCGCGCTTAATAGGCCATCTAGCACATAACCATCCTTATTCTTTTTCCACCAGTTTCACTCTCGTCCGCCGACTCGCGCTTCTATTTTACACTCCTGCCACAATATGGACCAATAAACTTAATAATGGAAACACAAATCTTGCGCCCGCGACCACTACAATAATTTGATGCGCCGGCAGGTCGTTCCACATCCCTCCAATTAGGCTGTTTATTTTATAACAAAAGCAAAAAGAGTTAATTATCAACAAGTAAAATCAAAAATCAAAACCACTACTTACTACACCGTTTTGTGAGAAAATCAGATTTAATTTTGCTCAAAATATCGGTCCACTTTTCCAGGATCAGATAGAATGGTTGACAAAATTTTAGATCATGGTTTACCTTCGGAAATTGAATTATGGATGATTGAAATGGAATGAAAAATGCAAATAATAATTAGTTTAAAATGAAGTTTAATATCTTTAATAATTTAATGCTATAATTAAAGAATGACAATAAAAAATGCTCTGATAGATTTTTGAGGATTTTTTTTAATGTTTGGTAGTTTTCTCTCTCTCTAAAGTTATATAGAATTATTTAGCTGTTTAAAAAAATTAATTTATATTTAAACATAACTTTACATTTTTGTGTGAAAAAAAACTGTCAGTTTAATTATAACCGTTTATGTAATTCTTATGTGGCTCAAATTTTCGTGTGTTTAATCTGTAATCAATAAATAAAATTATGCTTCACTCTATAGGCCAAGAATGAAAAAGTAGCAAATTTTATTTTAATTTTCCATAAAAATGAGTTATTTGAAGTGAAAATAATTAATCAGTTTGGATAATTTAGGTGTACAGCTGCAGCCAGATTTTCAATTGCCTCAAATTACTTACATTTTATTTACTCGAACGTAAACTGATATAATTAATTCAATTGAGCTAATTACATTTCGGATTCACCCCAAAGGACTGTAGAAATATTGCAATCATCTTTTCCGGCTCTCTTGGCTTAATTAAAGCCGTGTGCCTCATTTGCCGACCAAAAATGATGAAATGACAAAATTCCGAGCGCTGCCATTGGCCCAAAATTATTTATATATACGACGGCTCCGAATATAGTAGTTTTGCGTCGGCTCAGCACATGATGCCGCGCGCGTCGAATTTTGAGTGCCGCGTGCCCATAAATATACGGGCCGTAAATTCCAGCAGCCCCTAATCCTGCAAATTGATCCGGGGCAATATGGCGTCTCAGTAGCCGATCCTAATTACGAGCGCGGCGCATTATGAGGCATATCAAGTGGCATTTACGAGGCTGAGTGCCACTCGGTTGTAATTGCCTCCCATTTTCCTATAATATAACTTTCATCTTCGGCGAGAAGCATTGATATTAACTTACACACTCTCTCGTCAGGCAGGGATCGTGCTTATCTGGAGCTGCTCTTTCGGCCAGAAGAGAAAAAGCGCGGCCGCTTTGAGGCTTTCGGACGTGGGAACTTGGAGATTAGCACCTTCCTCCTAACTAGGCGGCGCCTTTGAAATTCTCTGCATAATGGAATTTCCAGTCAAGCGAGCAAATATGTGCGCTCTTGCTAGGCTTTTGGCGAAAGAAGAATGCCTTTTGAAAATTGAGCATCCGTCATGGGTTGGAAACGGTTAAAAGCAAAAGATAACTTCATCAAACCGGAGTCTATTTTTACCAGAAGATTGAGTGGAATCTATTTTTCCTAATTATTAACTACTATTTTCAAACAAGCAAATTAAATTTTTAGAGAATAATTAAGTAAAAATATTATATTTATAAATAATTTTTCCATTAAGTGTCATAATTGTGCCCCATGCGACCCTAGAATTGCAGAGTGCAGTGTGCGCTCTGCCCAACTATTAAATTGTATTTATTACTCCTCGATAAATCTTCATTTTGACAATTCTAGAAGTTATATGACAACAACACGCGTAAAAGGGTAATGGAAGTTAAAAACTTCAACAAATTTATTATCTAATATCTTAATTTCATCCTAAAATATAATTAATTTTGTGAACAATATTTTTCAATTTGATTTAAAAACTCGCTTTCTAAACAAACAACCTTCATTTTATACAAAACATAAGCAGTATAAGTAAAGAAAAAGA